AATTAACAACACCTGAACAACAGAATCATGGTTGACCTTAAATAACCCCATCCCCCAGCAAACAATCAAAACTCAAATTGAAATACGCCCCCTGGTGGCCATAAACACAGGAAACGACAAATGGCTCCTACACCAGGGGTGACCAATTAAAAATCAGCGGGGTCCGAATAAAGAAAATCAACAACCAGTGAATGTACGGAGACAGTTTTAATTATAATCTGTTACTTTAAACAGCAATTAACACTGAAATAAAATGAGGTGTTTATGCATCCATGTTATGCATTTTTTTTTAAATAAAAAACATATTTTTTTCATTTTAAAATCTTGAGCGTTTTTTTTTTTAAGTAGAGAACAAAAGTCGTTCAGTTCGGTATATAGACAATTTACTGATTCACATATTTTATAAAACACCTGAACTGACTGTTTATGGCTTAAGCTGGGCATGCACTGTGTGATTTTTTTGTCCCTTTCAAGTCGACTTCCCAGTCATGAGAATGTCTTTTGATCGGGCTGACTTTCAGCCTGATCGTGCGTCATGTAGTGTACATGGGGTAATAAGGGCCGATCAGCCTCACCAATTCCCAATCAAGAATCGTAAGGTCGGGAGAAAATCAAACATCTTTGATTTTCAGTTGACTGTCATGGGCAAATGACTCAGTGGACATGCGTAAACAAGGACTCTTGTTATTCCTCCCAGATGAAAACACAGAAGCATGGCGGGGATGCAATGAGTGAAATAAGAGTTCTTCTGTAAAATTGACAGACCATAGTAGCGACGTTTGCTCAGCCATGTCTTTGTCCAAATATGTCGCTGCCTTCTCTTTTTAGGGCTTTCAGCACAAAATTGCACAAATTGCCAAGCCAGCGTGTTTCACTCTAGTGCAGGCATCCCCAAACTCGGTCCTCAAGGCCCCCTGTCCTGCAGGTTTTAGAGGTTTCCTTGCTCCAGCACAGCTGATTTTAATTGAAAGCTGATTAAAAGGCTTTTGGTCTACTGCAATCATTATAACCAGCTGTGCTGAAGCAGAGAAACCTCTAAAACCTGCAGGACAGGGGGCCTTGAGGACCGAGTTTGGGGATGCCTGCTCTAGTTAGCTTAAAGGGGAACGTTTTTTTTTTTTTTTACATTGGGCCCTTGATTTTACGTTATTACATCATGTTCTACTCACCCATATGAGTTTTGTGTCATTTGGAGCTGTTCTGAAGATATTCTGTTAGGTTATATCAAAGTAAGTAGTGTTTATGACGTCATTCGCGCATGCGCACTGGAGTCATAACAGGCAGCCACAGGTTGCGGGACAGGTCGCATTAGACCAAACTCTGACTCGTCTGGATAGACGAGTCAGAGTTTGGTTGGTTCCATCTCACTGTGGAGCCGAGTCCGACGTGGTTTCTAGATGTGCAGTGTGAGCAGGCAGGTCGCATCAGAGCGTCGTGCTGCAGTGTCATGAGCTGTGAACTCAGACTGTACGAGTTTTTATNAGACGAGTCAGAGTTTGGTTGGTTCCATCTCACTGTGGAGCCGAGTCCGACGTGGTTTCTAGATGTGCAGTGTGAGCAGGCAGGTCGCATCAGAGCGTCGTGCTGCAGTGTCATGAGCTGTGAACTCAGACTGTACGAGTTTTTATCAATAATATTAGCACCTCGTTACCCCATGTACACTCGATGACGCACAATCAGGCTGAAAGTCAGCCCGATCGAAGAAATTCTCACAAGACTGGAATAATTAGTATTATTATTACAATGAGCTGTATCTGCGTGCAACAAATTGAAAGAAAAAAAAATCGCACAGTGGTACCAAGCTTTATTAAGAGCCATTCTCTAGCACATATCAAGGTGCTCATTTTTGAGCCTGGGTCGATATTAATTTTTGATTCTGTTCGTGGTGGAGAATCCTGCTTCACAGCAGCAGGTTGAGCCAAACATACTGAAAATGTGCAGGGTCACCTTTGAGCACACCATTTCACATTGTGGTCACCAGTTCACCACAGCTGCTCCAGCAGTCCCCACTTTCTCTGCTCTCTTTCTCTCATAGTTTTCTCCTTTCCCATCGCCTAGCTTGCCAGAAGTTTGCCTGTTGCATCTAAAAGTAGCAGCAGCAGCAACCCAGACTGACAGCAGCTCATTGGATAATTTGTATCACATGCAGCCTGGTCTCGGACACTACAGAGGGCTTTACCGTATTAACAGGAGAAGCAGCGCAAGTAAAGTTAGACACTGCCATCAGACAACATGTGGTAATTTAGAAATGTTTTAAATCAGGTTGGGTCCAGATTAGCCAGGAGGTGGGTCTGGATCCGGCCCGTGGTCCGCTAATCCATGACCCTTTGATCTACAGAGTCAAGAACAAAACTATCAGAATTAGTTCAAAGGAAAAAAAGAAAAAAATCAGAAACGTCACACTTCTAGAGGAG